AATAAGAATATTTCGATTGGGTTTAGTGAGTGAATCTTAAAGACAGCGTAAGAATAATATTATCAAGCGAATTTGTACACAAATTTCACTGGCAGGCAAAACACATTAGACGCGTAGAAATTCGTTAAAAATATATATGTACATATGTATATATAAACTAAATATATGTGTACAAGTGTAAATGGGAAGTATTTTAGTTGTTATTGCTGAAATGTCTGTGTCTATTGTTATTTTTCAACCAGCACTATTATGGGCACACATGTGCATGTGCACATTGGCATCCCCTGCACTTACTCCCCTGCATTTCAACCTAAGACTGCACTCAGTCTCTTGTGTGGTGGTATATGCGTTCACATCGTCTGTTGTTGATGGTTACTGGCGATGGCGCGATTATTTGTCTGTCTGTCCCACCGACCAATCGTTTGTCTGCCACCCGCTGCCCGCACCCCTTCACTAAGCGATTAACTGCGTGACGGTAGCACATACTCGCCACATCTAAAGATTACGAATTGCAACTGCAAACAATGCAAGCAGCGCTAACAACAAAACCAACTGCAACAACAGCAGCAATAGCACTAACAAAACACGAAAAAAGAGAGCGCAGACGCACCAAATGCTCGCGACGTTGACACAAAATGCAATGCCACTGAACTTTAATTGGCACATTTTGATAATGAACCGTCAGCGGCGGCGACTGCAAACAACAAAAACAGCAACAACAATAGCCGTGATACTTGTAAGCGCAATAATAACCGACGACAAACGACAACAACATAGACAAACAACAAGAGCAATTGGTCGTAAATATACCGAGTAAAAACGCAGCGGCAACAACGCCAACAACAACAAGTGCATGGATCCAGCTGCTGCGGCAATTACATGTGGGGATATACGTACTTATGTACATATGTGCTTGTATGCAAGCACGTAGGCAATAATAACAACAGCTATAACAGTCAATGCAAAAACAAAAACAACATAAGCGAGGCACTGCGTCATCGCATCACCTTCGTCTCCACCACACCGCTCGACCTACCATGTTCCCGCTTAACGCAAACAAACACATTATGACTCCAAAGTAAAATCAAAGCAGTGACAGTGGCATTCACCGCAATAAATGAACTGTTTAATGAATATACATATATATTTATTTTATATATATATATATATATAGGTATATGTATATTGGTACAAATACATATGTATGTAAATATAATATTTCATTATGATTGCTAAAAAATATACTTATGCAATTTCAAACGTGTTTGTTTGTGTTGTTGTTTAAATTGCATTGACATTCCGCCAGATTTGGTATCTCTAATATCATTCAAAAAAAAACAAAAAAAATAAATATAAAACAACAAACAACATATTTTTTTTAAAAATACCCTTATGTACTGTTTTATATGATTTTTTATAGTAATTTTACTAAAAAATTCAAAATTAACTTCAAATACTCACTAAAATTTAATTACACCACAATTTACCATATTTTATTTGGGCTTTTATTGCCTTGAGTAACGCCTTTAACACATTTAATCAAGTCAGTGATCTGGTGAAAACTAATTGCCTTTTAAATTCCCTGCCGAACCAGTTGTCATCGGTTAGAGACCTCTGTTGCTTTAGGGGGTCAGTCGAGCAACTCAAATATGTAAATATGCACATATGTATTTTGTAGTCAAAATTTTTCAAGCAAGCAGGGCAAAGTTTCCGTTGTTTTTAATTGTTTTATAAGACGCTACAACATTTTAGATTATAACCCCGAAAAATACAAGAAAAATTATTATTTTCTTTTTAGTTAATTATTTAACTACAAATCGTGAGAATAATCTCATTCGAGGAAATTTATAATTCTCGATAAATAAATATGAAACAAAAGGTATTATAAGCTTTTTTTTATATACTAGGGTTGAGCACAATAGTTGCACGCCTATATTCCAGTTGACGTACTATTGAGAAGTAAAGTTGAAAATTTGAGAAGTTGGATAGTTCTCATCTCGAACTTTAAATTGACTGCCGACCATATAATGCATAGATTTATGTATTTTTCTGTTAAATACTTGTCTATAATACATGAGTATATTTCTAGAAAGTGTGTTTCGCGTCTGCCACAACACTATAAATAATTAAACAACCCACTTGGCGTAGAAATTAAAACAAAAAATAAAAATAATAACAACAAAAAAGTAATTGCAACAGACAGTAACAATAACAATTAAATTACGTTAACATTTCTACACAAAAAATTCAAGGAAACAAAAACAAATTTAGCAAAATGAAAAAGCTATGAAACACACACAAGTATTTCGAGGGAAAAAATAAAAATAACGGCGGAGAATGCAGACAGGCGAAAAGCAAAAAATAACATTAAACTTAAATAAATAAATGCCTAGTCAACAACAGTTTAGCCAACAACAATCGCAACAACAACAGCGCACAGTGCAAACAAGCAAAGTAGCAGTCATTGCAAAATGCGAGTACCGTTTATGGGCGGGGCGCTGCGGCGTGCCGTGCAAAGGGGTTAAGGTATTTTTTGTTTTGTCTGCCCACAGCTGTGGTGCTATGCTGACTCTACGCGGCACCGGCCATACATATCTATGTGGCTATGTGCAATGTCCGGCTGGCCGTCTGGCTGCTTGTCTGACCGTTGGTTGGCAGGCCTTAGCCGCGCCGCTGGTGGTTGACCGTCGACTGGCTGGCTTGTAGGCCACGGCGTATAAGTGCGCGCGGGTAGCCAAGTGAAGTAAAATAAAATAGGAGCGAAGAGTAAAGGAAAACAAACAAATCCGAAAGGCGAAACATGAAACACGAGCACCTCCTGCGGGCATGTGTGCGCAGTGCTAGCGTTAGATTTATTCGTGACAGTTAGGTTATGTGGTCAACTACATATGTATTCCAAACAAACTTGATTATTCCCATAATTCTTTATTTACTTAAGTGCATTAAATTAGTTGCAAAAAAAATGTCTTCCTTATTCATGCGCTGAGGTCCCAAAGGTATTTCATTGGGCCACAGAAGGCCTCCAATGAATAAATCTCCTTACATACACACCAACATTTATACATGTACGTACATATGTATATACGCGCATATTTCGCCTGCTATAATTATATTTGGAAATTTTGTTTTATTTTTAATTCAATTTAGACGTTTTCCTGTTTCGATTTTCGAAAAAGTTTTTCATTCATGAATTTATGGTGACTCACCGTAGGTGGTGGGCAGTGTTGTCTGACGTTTGAATTATTTCTTTTCGTATTGGCTTTGGTTTTTGTTATTGCTGAGCGAAAAATGTTGTGGATTTATTTTTCGTTGCCAATACTTGGGCAAATATTATTTCATTTTTAGTTTTTTTTTATGATTTTGCTGCTGCCAAAAGAATAAGCGCACGAATTCTTGAGTGAGATTTATTTAAAACATGGTATGTAGATTTCTCTCTCATATATACATACGTACATGTATTGCGTAATAGTATCTCTACAGCATACTTTGCCGCAAAATATTTTATAATACAGTAAAAAAGTAATTCATTTATAAAAAAATTTCGATATTTTAAAAGTTTCGTCTGACTATTGAAATATTTACAGCCCATAAACCCTAGTGCTTAGCCATAAATAACAGTATTTGATGCCGCTGAAAAATCTAATATTATATATTGTTTCTTCGAAACCAAATATTCGGTAGCCATCTCTGCTGCTTTGTATTTATATATAATATTTGTTGGTGTAATTACTTTTGCGTCAATTACCGGGATCATACCAATGTGTCTTCTTTAAACTTTCGTAGTATTTCTAGGTGTTTGTTTAATTAAATTTTTTAGTTGTTTTCTATTTATGTATACATATGTATTCTACAGTTTTTTATACATTGTTTCGTTTGGCATTCCGCCAACTGAGGCGACTGCAGCGTCAGCACGCTGTCTGCCCAGCTGAAGTGGTGAAAAAATGTACAAAAATCAGACGAAAAATAAAAATAAAAATAAAAACAAAAGCAAAAACCATCCCACAAAGTGGCTATTCTGTAGAGATGGCGGTGCAATCATATGCACACACATACATACATATGTACGTACATTAGCGCATGTAATACAGTTGCCAGACAAACAAATAGAAAGCCAAAAACCCACAAGATGTCTACAACAAAAGACACATACTCATATATGAACAAACATACACACGCACACGCAGTCAGACAGACAAGGAGGAATAGTAATAACCGACAAACCACGTTGCAGTCACAGTCACCATCACCGGCGATGTCGTCTTCTCAGACACTCAGTCTGCCCGGCTAGAAAAATTTCAGAAACAATACTGAAATAAAAGCAAAATAAAGCCTCTAGGAAACGTGTTATTCTCATTCGCTGCATTTCACTTGTATTTGTGCATTGCTTACATACTGTACGTTTATTTATGCATATACGTATGTATGTATATATATTTTATAAATGTATGTAAGAAATGCTTGAGAGTGCCAACTGTGCCTTACTTTTGTCCTTTTTATTATACCTAGAAAGTTACTGTTGGTAGGAAAGTGCAGCAGCAGGCTTCGACGTACGCGAGTATTTCAAATAAAGTGAAGTTAAAACATTTCGTGTTTTTAATCAAAGAAATCTATTACAAAATAATACTAACTAAACCGCTTACTATTTTATTTTATAAATTGCAAGACATGAGTCCTTCTATTCACGCGTGTGGATATTTAAAACTTAAATTAGAACTCTTAGAGCAAAGTTTTCTTTTTTTTTGTTTACAGCTGTCATATCAAAGGGAGTTTTTATGTCCCTGAACAGTAAAATTAGGTAAAATTGTTACGCATTTTCCTAAGTCTAGCTTTTGTCGACAAAACAGTTGTGAACGTTTAATGACGTCAGCAAATTTGACGTTGAATGCACGAAGATTTTTTAATATCAATATATTTCATATATATATACATATATTGCTGCAATTTAGTTGTATTCGACTATAACAATATTTCTTATAAAAGTTTTTTATTCTTCATTCCAGATGCTATCGGTACAGACTGCCGGCTACGCGGGAATGGAGCGGCTCGGCGTTCCGACCCGCACCACACTTAACTCACCACCTGACGACAGGTAATAAGACAATGCAAACACACACATACGCATATCCATACACAGACATGAGTGACAGGCGTTAAACTAACCTATGTACCTTCTGCTTCTTCTCCCTTTCATTCTGACAGAGGGCAATATAGCTGTAGAATGCGCGTGGAGACACTGCCGGCGCGAGACATTTTAGTACGTAGCGAAACTGTGATCCGTAGCAACAACGTAAGCAGCGGCTGTACGAGCGCTTGTATGACCACTGCCAATAGTAGTGGCAATAAGAATCAACAGCAGCAACAACTATTAAATCAAGAGCATCACAATCAACATTCCCACCATCATCAGCAACAGCATCATCACCAATACCAACAACACTACCAACACCACCATAACCAGCAACAACATTACCAGCGCATGTCAGCGCAACAACAAGAACAGCAAACAGCGTGCAGCAGTGCAAGTAGTGCGCGCAATGGCAACATGCCCGCACGCAGCACAACAAGTATTAGCAACAGCAATAGCAGCAGCAATTTCATGCGCGGCGGCATCGAGGCGGCCACCCTCAAGTACGGCAGCATGGGCAGCGGGAGCGGTGGCGCCGGCGGCGGCTATGGCAGCAGCATATCGGGCAGTTCCTGTGGCAGCAATAGTTCCTGCAATAGTCACAGCATCGACCACCATCAGCACTATCAGCAGGCAAAGCAGCCGAAGCAGCAGCGCACGCCACGTTGCCCACACCATGTGCCGTTGCCGGATAGCGAATGGGGTCAGGATCGCAGCATGCAACTACGCGCAAGCTATCAGGTTGGTTGCAATGCATTTACAAAACATTATTTAATCGCGATTTTCCTCTTCCCCACAGCAATCTGAATTAACGCGTTCCTACATCAAACCTCCGCCGAATAAAACCATAAAAGACGTTCCAGAACAATCATCCTACAATTTTAATGCTCTGTCAGCGCTCAGCGGCTCCAACATAACGTTATATGCTTCGCCTGCGACGTCAACAGCACAGCCACAACAACAACAACATCCACCAAAATCAAAGCCAAACGTGATCACAAAGCTTTTTTCGCGCAAAAGCTCACCCAAATCGCCCACAGCGCTCGCATCGTCATCCTCTTCCACGTCGGCGTGCTCTTCGCTACCCACGTCCGCGTCTATAACGTCCATGCCCGCATCGACATCGTCCTCAACGTCATCGATAGCGTCCGCAGCTGGTGGCGCAGCCCTAGCAGCAGCAGCTCTATCGCCTGCTCTATCTACATCTTCAACGCCATCGGTACTCGCATCAACACCCCTAGCATCAATGCCCATATCGACTGCATCATCGCTAAAGACGACTGCCTGCAGTTATGGTGCCAGCTCATTGCAAGGGTCCACACCACCTTCCATAACGGCCGGTCTTGCGACCAGCACACAACTACTGACCACAATCGGCGTCTCGCCCACAGCCACATCCGCCGCAATCGAGCGCATACCAACACCGCCACTTTCGGTGACAGTGCCCATTGGTGGCTACCACCACCATCACCACCTCCACCATCATCACCACAATCAGCAGCAGCAACGCTTGCACCAACAACAGCAGCAAATACTATTAGACAGCATCGTGGCCGAAAGCGCCACGCCCACAACATCGTTGCAATCACTTAAGAGCAGCAGCTGCAATTTGGCTACTGCCGGCGCCGCGGAGCGCAACAGCAGCCGCAGCAGCCTGGTTGCCATGGACTGCTATCCGCTGACGGCCGCGGCGACAGGCGGCATGACGCCACGCTCCCGCACACCGACAACGCTTGCGGACAACAACAATTGCAACTGCAATAATAAAGACTGTAACACGTGCACGTCGAATACAACAACATAGCGGCGCGTGGCTGCCATTGCAAACACCACAGTTGCTAGCATCGAAATCGCGAAGATGGCATAGTGTGGTGAGGCAGGAGAAGTAGATAAAAGACACGGGTACGGCGCAGCGTGAACAAGTTGTGCATTAACTAGCAACAAATTCCTGTATGCGTATGCCTAGGGGCCAAGGGGGAAATTCATAGTATATAGTCGCTGCAATATGTTGCACATACACACAAATGTCTGTATGTTCAGCAGTTATGTAAATCTATTTAATTTGAGCATGAAACTACTTTAACACTGGTTTCACATGAATTTTGTATTCACATCATTTCCAAACGCAACAGTACAGCGAAAGGGGAAAACGAAAATGAGAAATGCATTGCCTCACCGCGGTATACTATATACATACATAAATACGCTTGAGTGATAGGTTCTTGAAAGCAGAATTGACTGTCGCCAAAAGCGCTCTGCCAGCTGAGGTTTAAAAAAAATGTTTGTGAATTTGCTTTAAGCTAAATTAGTTTACGATTATTCGAAGCCTAAAGTAATTTTAATCCAATTTATTGTATTTTTTAAATTAATTGTTTAACTATTCAAAATTTATTTTAGCCAATTAAGCAAAAATTTATTTCGAAACCAAAAAAAAAAAATCAAAGCGGAAAAATGTGTAGAATTGTGTTCATGACTTTTTTTCGCAATTAATTATGCGTGTGTGCAATTGCCTTTGATTAGCAAATTATATTAAAATTATTACTTATTTAAGAATAACGCTGGCAGAACATTGAGGTAAAAAGTATTCGCACTGCGCATACATTCTCAGCTTTCCCTTGTATACTGTTGTGTTTTTAAACGATTTTAATTTGTAAAGATTAATCTAAAATAAATTACAATTTAAGTCAATCCAATAAGTGTAAATAATCTTAACGCTAGCATAGTTAATATACTAGCCTTGTCCATACTACATATAAGTAGACATACTATTTGTATGTAGTGTAAGTGAGAAGAAGAAATTATTTAAAGGATAAATGGATTTTTAATTAGTCTAAAATAGCGGAAAGTAGCTGTAAAAGGATAATTAAATAAAATAAACTGAATTAAATATGCTATATATTAAATATATGCAGAGCTGTAATATTAATTTCAACAAACAGTTAGCAAAAATAAACTTTAAAATTTTTAAATAATTAATTGTTTTTTATTTATTTAGTTTTTAATAAAGACCGTTAAAATATAATTCGTGTGAGCAGATTTGAGGGAATTTATATAAATTTTATTATCTATAATGTCTAAAAATAAAATAAAAAATTTTGTAAACTTATACCATATGTTATAACTGCTAATATACTATTATATATATATTTTTTCAAATTTGAATGAGGTTACACATTTTTTCTTATTGAAAAGTAAAAGCATTCGGAAATATATAATTTTCAATATAAATTTTTTGTTCTGTTGAATTTAAGATAAAATTTTAATTTCAAAAAAAGATTCGCTCGTTTCGAAAATATTAATTTTTTTTTGCATCCCAAATATTAATTTTTTACACTAACAACGATTGTTGAAATTTTTTTAATACTGAATTGAATTCTATCTCTAGCGACATATGAATTCAAGTTTTCGCAATTAAAGAAATCGTGTGCATAGTTCTAATATTTAAAATTGAGAAAATAGCAATGATTGATTTTTTATTCCCACCCTCATTTGCGACATACTCTTCGCTTTTCGCCAAATATCTATACGAATGGTTTCAAACATTGCGTCGAACGATCAATTATAGTTAAAATAAAGATTAAATATTTAGCGAAAATTATCATAATTGAACTTATTTAGTTTTAAATACAAATTATATTAAAATAAATACTACAAAAACAAAAATGTAAAGAACTGCCAGCTTCCTTACAAGAGGTTGAGAGCAGGGAAAAAATTATTGATTATTTTTGGTAAAAAAAGGTATTAAAATGTATATAAAAATACATAGTTTAGCTATTAAATTAATTCAATAAAAATTCAGTTAATTACAATTTAACGAAATAATTTTTGGCACCATTAATAATTCCTTTTCGAAGTTGACAGCATTACCTTTAAAAAAAAGAAACTAATGGTAATTTTGCCAAAGAAAAAATTGTGTATTAGCAAATAACATTAGCCCTTCTTGATGTCTAATAAAAATAATACCACTGAAAAGCCAGAGTTACATAACCTCAAAAGTAAAAATACTACGATATATGTATTTACTAAAAAGTTTGAACACGAGGCTGGTTTTCGAGGAAAGAAAAAAATCATGAAGTTACAAAATAAAATACACATGCAAAGGTATGCAGCAAATATTTAAAATGTCTTAGACAACAAAAGATAGTCATTTTGTGACATGAACCAAACTATATCAAACCCAAACCCAAAAACTTAATTATATTCAAAACATAACCCAAAAGCAGCAAGTAAAAACTCATGGCCACTAAGGCGAAATAAATGCATGTGACTTGAAAATACAATACTTAAACCGTATGTGTCTACTAAGCAAAGAAAAAAAGAACAAAAGATTGTACCGAGGAAAGTCCAAACTGACAACTTCTTAAATAGCGTTATGCTACTAATTCATCTCGAAATATCCACTCTAAAGAATATTCAATCAACATTTTTATTTAAAACCGAATAAGTATGACATTGTATATACCATATATAATATATACCTATCTATCCAACACTTCAAAAATTAGTAAGCAATAGCAAAAATAACTGAACAACGACAACTGCACCATTTTTTGCATACCTATAACTGTATATGTTTTTGTACTTACATTTTATATATGCCACTTGATCGCTTCGCGAAGCCTTTGTTAAAACTCCAACGAACAATAAAAATGGACTCACTTTGATTTGCCGTTATATCTTTGACTTTTTTTTTAAGAATATCAACACATAGATTTATAAAGAAAAATAAATGTTTATAATCAAAATATTACTTCATATCTTGCATGAAAGAAGGCAGTTCCGTTCGTCTACTCCACTTGTCAATTGTGGGATATTATAAATGCAATTATACTCATTCGGACGATATTTGTTAATCATCTGCCATAGTTTGAAGACTCTGGATCTGATAAGATATAGCTGTTTTATAAAAGCAGTCACAGCTCAGCCAAGGTCCAAGCAGTATTCAACGAATTAAGCCTCGCTGATGCATGTCGCGTTTAAAAAGCTATGGAGAGGCTGAAATTATAACATTGTTTAATAAAATCAGATATATTATTAGATGGTTTTTTGCTTAGTAACATATGCATATATATAATTTTAGTAATTTTTACTTGTTGTTTTTTAAAATGCAATGAAGTCCCAAATTTTCAAATCTTTTTTTCCGATTGGAAATACAAATATCTGTAAATGCATGTGTGTATATAGAACTCCACTTTCTTCGGGTTTCGACTGGAGTGCGTACATTTCCGTCATAATATTATATTATTATTGCAAATGAAGAGCGTAAAAGAAAAGTTGATTTCAGATTTTGAACCTAATTTAAACTACCTCCATTAATAATTAAGTAAACGAATGTGTTGCAATCAAAAAATGCAACAAGAAAGTAAGTAAATATTTATGTAAATTTTCTTTTACAACAACACTAAGTAAATATATACAAAAATAACAAAAAAATTATAAAAAAAAAATAAAATTGTTGATTAAACCCCATGGACCACCACGAAGAATGGTCGAGTCTTAAAAGAGAAACAATCATTTTCTACTTTAAGAAAGAAATCAATATTTTACGAACTTTTATGTATTCGATATTTGAATTTAAGCAAGTGAAATTTAGTAAACGTAAGTCACTGGCGTCGAAAAGTGCAGGCAAGTCAAAGTGGAAAGCTCTTCCCTGCGACCAGCAAGTCACAACAGCTGTCTAAGAGTGTACACGTGAGGCGGTTCCAAGCGTCGACTGATATTTTAATGTTTGAAACTAGAAAAAAGTAATCTTAATTAATTTAATTAAACTACAACTAAGCAAAAGAATTTTAAATTCCATAAGAATGTAAATAGTTTGTATAAGAGAGAAGCCAGTCGAGAAATTATTTTTAAAATGCGGTTGGAGCGGGTTGTTGGGTGTTAAATTGTAACGAAAGCACAAGAGCCGGGCGCCACTTTTCACGGTATTACATATACATACCTATATGTATGTAAAGATGCAGAATGCAAAAATATGAAAAATAAAATATTTTACATCAACTCAATGAAATCAAAATTGAATGCAATAAATAATTTTAAATAAAATACAAAAAATGCTAATGTTATTAAACGAAATTCAATGCATTAAATAAAATATAATAATAGTAAAAATTATACAGCGAAAAACATGAAACAATTGCTACACACAAAAGCCGCCATTAAGGCGGCTGAGAAAAAATTATATTCTAAACACAATTATTTCGGCGCAAAGCGCAAACCTTCCAACTAATAATAAAAAATAAATAAATAAATTGAAAATTAACGAAAACAAAATGTAAATATTACTGTAGAGTATAGACATTTTTTTCTGTTAAACGCGATTTTTTTTTTTCATGGAAAATGTTTTCACTGCAGCTCAGAGTTGCAATGCAGCAAAGGATTTAATTTTAAAAACAAAAAACACAAAACAAAACATTGCAAATACCGCTTATTATCCGCCCTTAATCAAAATACAATCTTTTGCATTTTTAGCATTTTCTTTTCAACTCAATCAACTCAAACACTCACATCAGCGCATAAACGCCGTAAGCGTGAGAAACTAAAAAAAAATATTAGCAAAATTTTTTAAAAATATCACAAACCACAGAGGAAACTGACATATAGAATATATAAATATGTTAGTATGTAGTATAGTATATGCAGTCGTAGGTTGCAGTTGTGTGTATAAAAATATTAACTACTTATTATTATTGTTGTTGTCGAATATTGAAAAACAAAATATATTAATGAAATAAAAGAGAAATGTAAAAATTAAAGCAAAATGCAAAATATACATGCATATATACAAACATAAACACTTAAATCTATATACATACAGAAATCAATACATTTAATTATATAATGAAAAGCATGCAGCAATTGAAAAGTAATCGCCAGATCTTCGATGTCCGTTCGGAGTTTCAACTGAAAAACATTCAAATTCTAGTGAAGTGAAAAATAAATTAAATAAAGACTTGAAAATTAAAAAACAATATATAATATATATATAAATATAAATATGTATGTGCTTATATTATTTGTTTTCATTCACATATCTCCAAATGTAAGTATTGTATTAGTCCATAAAGAGCAAGCTTGCCAACAACTTCGTCTATTTCTAAGAATTGTTATAAATCAACGGTATGGAGCCAAACAATGTGCTAAAGATTGTTTCAATGTCGTTATTGATACTTCCGTTGTCTACGATAATGTTTTAATGTGGGCGTACTGTTATAAAAAGTTTAATTATATAGGTTAGCCATAGGTTATGGCTGCTTGAATGGCGGCAATATTATCATAAAATACCTATTTCATGTTGGTTTCCAGCTGTGAAAATAGAAATGATCAGCATGACGTGCTTAGTCGATTTAGCCATGTTCGTCTGTCTGTATACACGCGAACTAGTCCCTCAGCTTTTGAGACATCGATCCGAAATTTTGCACACATCCTTCACACCCCAAGATGCTGCGCATTTGACGGAACCATTATAGCATATAGCTGTTATACAAACTGAACGATCGGTATCAAGTGCTTGTATGGAAAACTTATTTTATTATATGAGATATTATAGTTTCGGTTTTTTCTTGTTTGGTCTTCATTTAATGCATGTGGTACTTAACGCGCACAAAACTTTTTTTTACCCAAATCTTCAGTTAATAAAAAAACTTAAAGTTTTAAGACTAGGCTTTCTCATTTCGACATCACACATGTTCACGCAACGTTGACGTTTATTTAAATTTGAATTTCGTTTGTAAAAATATCATGTTTTTATTATCAAAAAAGCCATTTTACGATTTGCAATTCCGTGGGACAAAGATCGTTTTCTATAAATTTGTGGTGTTTTTGTTTTTTTGAATTGAACTATTTATTGCAACTATACGTAGATCCTTTCTACAAATCATTACATTTTCAAATTAGTTGCTGTGGTTGCATATAACAAAATAAAACCGCCCAAACTCATTGCATCTAAGGCAACCAAAATAAATCAAACGCTGTCGTTGGCAACAATCGTTGCAAAAGACATTAAACCATTGAAATAAGTGTTTATTTTCTATTCGCTTGTCGTTTAATTTAGCAGTGAGTGTCTTATGGATCCCGCTAAACAACTAGGAATTGGGTGAGTAATTCAGAGTCAAAATTTCGATAAAATAAAATGCTACTACTTATGATATGTATGTACATATGCTCCCAATCGATATCGATAGGAAAGAACAGGCGAGAATAGAACATTTGGCGCGTCGCAATTTCCAGAAGAAATGGGCTAAACTTGGCGATGAAAAGTTGAACAGGTTCTACAATCACAACGAGGTCAATCAACAGCTGCACGATATACTGAGAAACAAAGGTTTGTAAATTGTAGGCTATAAACCAATTATGATGATTTTGTTTTCTAAATCCAGATCTCTGCCCTTACAAATATACGGGCAATGGTGACTCATATTTCGTCTCGCCGGACATGTACAACTCATTGCTAGCGAAATGTCGTTGTGGTCGTAAACGCAGTGAAACACATATTTTAAAATGCCTACAGAAAGCGGAAAATTCATATAGTCAGCGAGCATCGTCAGCTGAAGTCAGTAATTCAGCGCAGCCTCAGAGTTCCGAAAATGCATGCCAACCAACGGCAGATAGAAACAAGAGAGCGGTCAACACCTCTTTTCCGAAAACCTCAAATTGTTTGTATACCTTGGTTAGGGTGATGCTTCATTTGGCGCTTTCAAAACTTTTTTTTGTACCAAAAAACAAAATTCTAATTTTTCATATAGATTATATAAAAAGAGTGCTTAGCATTTCATTATTATAAGAAATTTCACTTCTAACTTAATCAGTTCAAAGTCATTTAATAGTTGCAACCTCTAAATATTTGGAAAGTTACAAATAGAGATCACCCTAATATGCAGAAAAGTAAAATTTATTTAAAAAATAAATTAAACCTTTTTCATTTATTGCAGCGTTAATTGGTTGGCAAAAACGTCCTTCCAGCTACAAACAATGGGAGAATTCAATGAAACACATATCACCAATTGCTACTATGCCTCAACCACGACTGACAGCCACCTCATATAATATTCTTCACATTGCTTAAGTGATTTACACGAGCACCCGTTATAACTACTATACTTTATTTTTAACTTTTAAAACAACTATCTTTTATAACATTACACATATTTAGATATTTAAATGCAATTGCGCACATAATCCTCTTCTCGAAAAGGGGAATATCACTTTTACAGCTCTTCAGTTGAATAAAATTTGTTTTCTTAATAATCAGTTTTGCATTTCATTTAGGGGGTTATATCCACACAAATCAGAAAAAAAACTAACGAAATCTTGTTCTATCGATCATTATCTGACAAATATATCTAAAAAGGTCGTGTGAAAATCAGTCTATCAGTCCAGGAATTCAGTCGCTGGTGCATTGTGCAAATGTTACTGCTTTGTCGGCACTATAATATGTTTGCGGAGCGTTCCATGCTCACAGGAGCGCTGTATTGGCGCAAACGTTCAATTCTACTGTGTTTTCGTTACATTTTTAGCCTATCTACTTAATTTTCTATCATTCAAAAACATAATTCTGACATACTGATACGAATATCATCATTATCTATCTCTTGCTGAGACAGCACGAGAAGTGTGCCCGGCTTAAGGGGTTAGGGGTAGTCAGAGGCTTGAAAAAATTAGAATTTTCTGTAATTTTTTTTGCCATAAAGTCATGTTATTTTACAAAAGTATAAAATTAATTGGATATAAAAAATTAGTTTTATAAGTAGATAGTCCTTTACCTGATCGAAACTTTTTTTCTTTCAAAAATTAACAAAATAGCGGCCTCAGGAAATTTTTTTCTAGTTTTTTGGTAAATCTTAAAAGTCGAAATTAAAAAAAAAGTCCTTCGATAAGGCCCGAGTTTATCATGTATTCTAAAAGCTGTAAAAATTTCATTAAAATCTACTGAGCGGTTATCGAGTAACAGTTGTCACCAGTTCAAAAAACATAGAAGTTTGTTTTGTTAGCAGTTTTGAGAAAAACGCATTTAAAGTTTCACATTAGAGCTCCCGAGCGCTTTGAAGTGCCCGAGCGCTCTTTGTTATTTGTCGAATAACTGAAAAAGTAATTATCGGATCAACTTGAAATTTTCAGAGAATATTTTCAAGATATTACACTTAACGAAAATGCTTTGCAAAAAAGTGATTAATTGAAAATTCTTACTACCCTAATCCCTTTAGTGGGTTTGTCTTCTCCTTGGCACTGTAAAGAAAATGTCTTTCCATTTACTCTTTTCCTGGACATCCACAAAGATTTCAAAACCAAAATCAGCCAATACTAGGTTCAGCCGTTCAACACTTTTACCGAGACTAACGAGCAGCAATTAATTTATATATTTATGAATATCTTACTAAGAGATATATACAAGTATGTATATTGGTGCCTTATTTTGAGCTTTAATTGCTGCTTCTAGTGAACTGAGTTTTTACTACCAGATACGATTAAATCGTAATAATCTTTGCATTTCTATATCTTTATATATATATACACACATATGTATAAGCTTTGAATACTGAGTCAAGTTCAAGTTGAGATACTGAGATGAGATACTGCAGACGTTAACTTGAGTGGCAATGGGCATTTTCATGTAGATTCACAAGTTGGTACGTCTCTGATGCAAGCTTAAAAGAGAGCATGCCTTCATATCCATTTGCATATTTGAATGAAGCATATTAAAATGCGTAAAGAATACGTCTCCTAACTTGTTTCTATATTTCCAGTTGACTCGGCAGTTAAAGCTCGCTTGAGTGTCTTTTCAAGTTGCTCTTTAAACTCGCTGAGCAGAATGTTACTTATACACAGTGGAGCACTGAGCAGCAAAGCAGTCGGGCAAGGCTTATGGAAGTGTGAAGATTTTAAGACAACCTGCAAGTATTATATTGAGCAACAACAAAATGTTGTTTTCACATAGTTGTTGCCTTCACGCAGGTTTGTACTGAATGATGAAATAAAAACCAAATATTTTGTTAATAATTTGTAAAATTTTCCTTAATTATCACGCAGTGGTGCTAATATTAACCGTTCCGGCCTACGGCGCACCCACAGAGCAGCAGAAAGTGGTAGCCAGCAGCAGACAACGGCTCAAGCGTCAAATTTTCTCCAACTTCGGTGGCGACAATACTTTCTTCACACCAATGGACTTTAATTTTCGACCGAACTCTTTTGTGCGTCCGCAGTGGGGACGCCCCGGTCCAGGCGAACCGCTGATATTTAGCAATGATAGGGGGCAAACACTCACCAGCACAACAACTACAATACCATCACCATCACCATCTAACGGTCAACAGGCAAACAACAATGCTGCGCCAAATGTCGTTTTCATAAACAATCAACCCATGGTTGCAACCATAGCACCGTTTACAGCGCGGACGACGTCTTCGCCCCAATTCTTGAATTGTTTTGGCAGCTGCCTCACCACCTCCGAGTACAATCCGGTTTGTGCGAGCAATCAGCAGCAATATCAGAATCCGCAGAAGTTCGATTGTGCACGACAATGCGGGGCAGGTGAGTCACTCTCGGCGATCAATGCATGTGTGTGTGTGTACGCTGAAATTACGCACTTTATGCTTTGTATGTGTAATTGTATTTAAATAAAAGAACAAGATCTTCACTGTAATTCATCTGCATATTCGTAACGATACACACACACATGCATAAATACACACATGTAATTAAACAAATCGAACCTGTTGTGTTCACCTGCTGCGTTACCTTGACAATTCTTGTATTTTGTCATTGAAATTTTACTTTAAACCACTCCATCACTTCGCATGGGGCACTTTCGCACCAAGGCCTGCAAGCCACGCATGGGTTCAAGTCACGTCCAGTGTTTTCAATGTTTTGTTTATCTGTTGAGTGCGTGATTACCACGTGTAGTCTCGGGGATTCCACGCCGACCAAAGCAATATTTGAAACACTAATATACGGCTTTGCCAAAGACGGCCCATCTAAGACAGGCAACGCTATGAAAATGGTTAAAAATTCGGGGGCGCATGAAAACTTGTAGAACGCTTCACTTATCATATATTGCTAAGAAGAAGCAGAAGCTCCGAACAATTTATTATTGTCGTCAAATCAATTTTTTACACAAACAAACATACCAATAATCTCATAATTATGATGTTTTTCATCTCTGCAGATATCCAAATAGTGCGGCGCGGCGCCTGCGAGGGTCTTTTCCCAATGCAACGTGGGTAGCTACATTATTGAAGATACGTATACGTTTTATATATGGTACTTTGGAAACTACCGAACTGATTTGCTGTACAATTGCTCTCTCTCTCTAACTATTTACAGAGTGATAGCTATTTAGTTGATAATAATTTGTTTTAAATATTCAGTGTTCTTGTTCTATTCGCCAACAGTCAATAAATATGGTGATACCTGTTTTTTATATTTTTTGCGTCAAAAAGTAAACTTCTGTTTGAGTTATTAATTAAATCTTTTCCGAATTCAGTAAACTGGTTATAAATATATGGTAAATAGGTGGAAAATATAAAAAGAGATACTGGTATAGGTACTATATTACAGCTAAATTTGCTTAGGAAATCCTCTCAGATGGGTTGAAACAAATTTTCTATAATCATACAATACAAATTGTCAATAGATGAAAAATAACTTATTTACTTCTTTTAGTTCAGGTTAATTAATCCGGCACCTGATGCCTTTGTGACTAGGCACACAGTAGAATTATAGTCGCTTGGTTCTGGCAACGCTCTCCACTGATGCCCTGCTTTCCAACAGACTTCTGGCCGTTATGCACTATTAGTTTGATGAATGATGAAAAATATGCAATGTTCTTTAGGGCTGATATATTATACACCTCGAATTGGGTTACTGAAATTCAGTATTTATCCAAAAACAAAATTTAAAACCATTACAAAGTTAGTCAAACTTCATAAAGAAAATTAGAAAAAAAAAGATAATATCATTAAAAAAGAAATACAAGCAAGCAAAACATACTCTCACTGACCGATATAAAGGGAAACACGTTGATGTTAAAATGAAATAAAATAAAGCACTCAATATTGGTCAAAATGGGTTATTTTTTTTTGTTTTTTGCTATGCAGATAATTTTATGCCACTTATTATTCGAACAAAATGTCGGCCAACGTTTACGCCAATTTTCGATGACCCGGTGCAGCATTTCGAATTGATTGACGTAAACCTTTGATTTAACATACCTCAGAGAAAATATTCTAGAGGCGTGCAATCGCACGCTCTTGACGACCATTTGACTGGGCCATTCTACGAAATTGACGAGTCGCCACACTTTGCACGCAACGTGTTCATGTTTAGACGTCAAACATGAGGCGGCGCATCGTCTTGTTGGAAATAGAGATCGTCCGCATCGATTTCCTGAAATTCCGGCGGACAAAAGTTGACATGATGAAATGGCAAATCTTACTGAGCACACTGGCAAAGTTTGACTCAAATCCGTAAACAAACATGGCCGCCACGAGCTGTCAAAATCACATCATCCCTATTGGTAGACGCTATACGTATACGAATATGTATTAAAATGAAGTCAACCGGAAGGACGAATATTATAATATTCATCTATTAAAAGGAGTTGAATTGGTTTGACACTAAGAAAATTAGACCAAGATTTAACGGCAATAAACGTTTACGATATGAATTTATACGGAAAGAAGTTGCACGAGTCCCATGGAATAGCGGCTCGTAATTTTATAATACAAGGGTGTCCCAAAAATAATCGACTTTTAAAAAAGACAAATTTATCCTCTTTCAAACGCGTATAACTTCATGGATAACGGATGTTAAACTTACCGCGACTTCGAAAAAATAAATAGTGTGCAATTGTTCCATTTTTACAAAAGCAAATTTAAAATGATGTATTAAAATCGCTGAGGCATACGAATTGATGAAAAAAGTGTATTATGATGATTGTATGAGTCTTACTCAAGTTTATAGCTGGCTTAGACGATTTAAACATGTCATGCCGACTTAAACGACAAGCAGAGGCCAGTTTGTCCAAGAGCCTAACCGTGCTGCATTGGTGGAAAAAGTCCGTAAAATAATTGGTATCGATGCAAATTTTACCACGAGAATGTTGGCTGAGGAATTATATACGAATAAAAAAAAACCATTTGGAGACTTTTTACTAAAGATTTCGTTAAAAGAAAGCGCGTCTTTTTCCACATGCCTTAAATCAAGACCAAAAACGGGAGCGAGTTTTTGATGAAAAAACGGGTTTCTCTCGTCTACCACCCTACGTATTCGCCTGATCTATCACCATCTGCCTATTTTCTATTTCCAAAACTGAAAACGAACTCGAAAGGAACATTTTATAATGATATTACAGCCACTCAATCTGCTAAAGAACAATCCTATAAATAATATTTTTAAAAAAATATGCAAGCGTTGGTTGATCATTCGAAACATTGTATTGTGTCTAAGGGAACTTATTATATACATAATAACCTTCAAACATAATATGATGTTTATTTGTTATTAGGATACACCTTATTTATCCCACACAAGCAAAAGGTAGAATTTGCTAAGCTTTAGAACTACCAGTGATCTCCGTTCATCAAAGCCACGCGAATACCTAGTTAATTTTTTTTTATTGTGGAGTTTTTTCGATATGAGATTACGAACAACTGGCCTCACTATCTTCATTCTAAGATATATAACTCGTAGCATTAGGAACTACATAATAAAGGCATTTTTTAAACAAATAGAATTTTATAGCTATGTACATACTTGTAGTTTATAAAAACGTTCGCTATCTAATGGCAAGCTTAAATACATAAATTTGTTTTCGCTCACCAAAAGCAAAATCCACGAGTATCATCGCACATGCATCCTCAAATATGAGTATACATACACACGTACGAGTTAAATATATATTGAGAAAACTCTAATAATCGCCTACGGAAAGTAAAATAAACAATAATAATATCATCGCGTTCAAATTGGAAGAGATAAGAGATTAATCTGCAATCTAGAAGCATACATAAGGAATTAGCGAGATACGAGCAAATTAAAAATCCGCTGAAAGCAATAAAAAATTAAAATAAAAAAATGTATTTCCAATAATCGCTTGATTCTACAAATTCTACTAACTAGTAAAGAAACGAAAAAGAAAACGAGAAAGAAACGGAAAGACTTTGGTGCATTTTTCAAATTTGTCTAAATAGAAGAAAAGCAAAATTATAATCACCAAAATTGCATTTTCACTCACTTCTAGGAATAATTTATTATTATGCAGATAAGAGCCGACCTAATGAAAAACTTTCACTGTAATTTCAAAACATAAAATAAATAAACATACGTAATTAAGTAAATATATGTGCTCAGAACGACAACAGACAACTAAATAGATAAGAAGCCGACAGAGATTACCTTGGTGGAAAACTTTATGGACAATTTGCCTCGGTACTTTTTCCTTGTTCTTTCGCAAATGAGTCATGAATTAGGCTGTAGTCCCTCTCTTATGATTTACAGTAAACAGATCCTCAGAACGCCCTGAATAACGTTAACGATTGCTTTCCAAAAATCCAACAGCTTTTAAGTTAGCAAACAATCTATTCTAGCGTTAGTTTTTTGATACAAACAAAGATCATGTGCCTGCTTTCTTGGACGACTGGCTGATGGCCCATATTGACCATAGTTGTAACAAGCTCGATATTTAAATATACACTGAAAAACTAACCGTTACTCGTGGAATAATGTGAGATTCCGAATTTCATGCTTTTCTGAAACTATTCAAAACATTTGATGAATTTGATAGTTTTAAAGCGGATAGTTTCGATTCTAAAATAGTAGATTTCCCTATCGGGTAGTTTCTTATCTATGGATTCAGGCATTTACGTATGTTTGTAATCTAAAAGCCATTATAATTAAAAAACCACTGATTTGAGCACAAATATTTTAGTAGTTAACAGCATCCCGAGCACATTATCTGCGAGTTGCTCACTAAAAAATTAATTTAAGATGAACTGTGCAAGCGAATTTAAAATTTTATTGGGTACGTGTTATAAATACTGATGTAAAATATACAAGTATTAGGAGAATTTTGGCAATGCGTTGCATTTGTGTAAGAATTTTAATACCAATAGTAGCCTTATTTTCATCCTGGGAAACAAGTGTTACTGGTGGTCTAGAAATGTGATACAACATATGTATTTCTGGTTTACTACATAAAAAAAATATTGTGGTAAATAAAAATGGAAATGACTCAACAAGTGTTTTAAGATATTATTAAAATGCTATCATAAGAAAATATTACTTTAAACAGCAAATAAAAGTAAGCCTCAGTACAGTTGTTACAGTGTAAGCCCAATTGGTTTTAGCGATTTATAACGGCAACGCCTTTTTATTCATTACAGCATTATTCTGCGTTTGTTTGATTTACCACATAGACGGTTTGCCGCAATCTGCGTACGGTTCGTCACAGCGTCACAATTCCACGGCTTGGCGGCATAATACAACACAGCACCGACCCAGTCAAACGATTGGAAATCGAAATTACACCAATCCCAACATCTGGCAACCACAATGCCAAAGACCATGGCTAAATAATAATCAGTCACATCCTCATATTCAAGTGCCCGGTTTCATGAATCTACATTATGCCGCCGCAAAGCAACCAAATCGAAGCATCTCTGAGGGAACCGGATGGCGACAACCACAACCGGTTGCACCTTATCTAAAAAATTGGTCCCCACAGCGAAGTAACTCGACACAAAATGTCCCAATCAGATCCGAACCATTTAGAAACAACGGTGGTGGACAACTTGCTCCAATTAATTCCGGTTGGGTGGCGTCAAGCAACTCAGCAAACTCTACAATTTGGAAAGGCGGCGTAAGTAGAGAGTTCCTCCCACAGGCGAATAATAGGTCTAATTCATATCCCACTTGGCATGCCGGCCTTCCTGGTAGTACTCTGGTAGCTGGAACCCATACCGGAAATTCATTAGTTGGTAGTGCCTCTGAACACCAAAATACTGCAAATACTGGTTGGAACCTCCCGAGTGGACAACCTAATGGTACTTATAGCGCACACCCTTACGGGAAACTATTCGCTTAATTATTTCGAAAAACTTCCAGTTGCGTTACGTTTCTGATAATAAAAAAAATTACTACTATATTTACGAGCATTCAATTTTGTTATCTGCGGTTTTAAGTATACTGCGTTCGATAGCCCCCAACAAAAGTCTCGTTATAGAGTCCAACAAAATCAACGGCAACTACAATCCAGTAGCCTCACACAGTTGGTATGTTCATTGACAAATTTCAAACTAATGTACGCATATGTAAGTATGTACAACTGTCACATCTCTCTACATACATACCTCTACCTATACTTACTTAATTAACATATTCTGCATACTTACCCTAGCCAAGTGGTACTACATCGCCGTTTTTAGAAGTCGGTAAACAAAGATGTACAACTCGTCTCTTTAGCGGATGTTTAAATAAACTCAAACCGGTGAAAAATATGACATGATTGTCTTTTGTCAAAGATTGTTGATAACTCAAAAACAACCTCCCACCCGAAATTTTCGCTACTAATTACCATAAATCAAAAGCTTTATTTTTTTTATTGGAATCAGGTCCTATTTATTGTGGATATTATTTATTCATATTCAAAACATTTCACAAGTTCTTTTTTCAAAAAACATTATACATTTATTCATAAATAAAACAAACACAAATTCAAATATAAATTGTCCTGCCTACAAATTCTACACAAGTTGCTTAAATGGTGCTTAAAATGGCGGTCCCCCTCAAGACAAATAAACAATTGATGTTTGATTGATATCGCAGAATATACAGAATACGTTATCGAATGCAGAACTGGTTTTGTACAACCAAAAACCCTTCAGTTGCTCTCTAAATCAGTGTATGGACTTTTATGAACGAGTGGAGTTTATAAGCTTCGTTAAAGGGAACCATAATGCAAAAGGAACGGATCAAATCAAGATAACAGGCAGGACGAAAATAAGTACGTTGAAATATCCTTCGGTGAGGTTCCCACGCCGCAGTCTCCGCAAAGTATCCCTCGCTGCCGTCAAAACGTAGCATCCCACGCCGCCGTCAAATCTTGGTTCCCACGCTGCAGTCTCAACTTTGTATCCCACGCCGCCGTCACAACTTGGAATCCCTCGCTGCAGTCTCAACTTTGTATCCCACGCCGCCGTCACAACTTGGAATCCCTCGCTGCCGTCTCAACATGGTTTCCCACGCCGCCGTCTACTCTAATTCCCCGCAAAAACCAAAACTACAACCCCACGATGAATCGACGAGTCCCACGATGAGAAGTCCCCCGAAGCCGTCACAACTAGGAATCCCACGCTGCCGTCAAAACTTGGAATCCCACGCCGCCGTCACAACTTGGAATCCCACGCTGCCGTCAAAACTTGGAATCCCACGCCGCCGTCACAACTTGGAATCCCACGCTGCCGTCA